CTCAAGTCCATATTTGCCAAGAGCATACGCACATATATACATGCATGTAAGTAGACACACGCATATAGTACCTGTATGTATGTACATACGTGCGGATTTCAACTGTCCATCTGCCAGCATGTTGTCCGCCCATCTGCCTTTGTAGTGGCTGCCTCGCCGTTGACTCTTAACTGTTGGTTACATCTGAGACCATATTAGATTATCTTGTGGCTACATAACTTCCTCTGGTTGTTGTTGCCATCTTTAAACCCAATTTGGAAGTTTGTATGTCCTTGCTTATTTAACAAATGTATTGCGTTTTGCGTCCTTGCACACAATATTTTTCAATTTCTACAACCGACCATTCAACTTAAACATGATTGCTATTATTTTATTTTTTGATTTTTATCTCTATTAAGTTTATCTGCTGGTTTTGCTAGGTATTTGGTGGATATGAGTGGGTTATTATAGATATATATTTGTACATACATACATATGTATGTACGCATTTAAGTACCCTGCAGTAAAATTTAGACAGTCTGACAAAGCGCTAGTTCCGAACTGCATATTTCAAAACCATCTCTGAACTAGTGTAAAACGGCTGCAGAGTGGAAAATTGCGATGTAAGTGTACAAAATCTTTTACAATATGAAAGTAGCTCAGCGAGACAAGCATCGTTGGCCACGAGTTGAAATCACGGTGGAGGCAGCTGTGAGTTTCAGATTTAATGAATTTTAATTGTTTTAAAAACATTTTCTTATAAAAAAAAAACTGTCCAAAACGGAACCGGTCAAAAACTAGCTGCAAAGTAATGCACTGGGCGACAATTGTGTGCCGTGTAAAACTGAACGGTATTGAACTAGAACTAAATAGTAGTGTCGGCAAAAGGTCAAGTTCTACTCTAATTCTGAGCTAGTGAGATTTTCTGCAGAGTACATATGCACTAGGTTTGTGTGAGTGGCGTTTATTTTCATTTTTGTGGTTATGAACCGACTGTAGAAAAATAAAACTAATGTTAAAACGCATTTGAAATATACTTGCATATAGAATCTCTCCTCTTTACAGCAGTGAATGTTCGGAGTGATTGATTTCTATTGAATAGCAGACATTTTGGTAAAAAATTTTTATTTTTTGTTTGCTATTTGCTATCAACAAAAATAGTAAGATCTTTGGAAAATATTGCTCGCGCTCGTCATTGAATGAAAGAAGGAATTGTAGAAAATATGTTTTATTTTCGTTATCATTTTGCTAACCATAAATTTGGGTTACACACCCAAACATACACACATACATATATGCATAAGTATGTATGTTCTTATTTAGTATGGGGGTAGGATGCGAATATTACATAAAATAGTTTCCTTAATGAGTACTTTATGTGCGGTAAATTTTTTCTCCAGTTTGAATGAACCGGATATTTACATACATACATATGTACGAGTATATATGGAGTATGTTATAAGTGGTAGCGCTTATGAGGAGATCAGTCGCTTAAAATCTGACAAATAAATAATGCACTTATAAGAACAGCAATGAAGGCACTGCATTTTCTAGGTAGGTACACTTTTAAAACAAAAAAGACAGCAACCATTGCATCTGAATATTAAGCACTTAACACAGTAGGAGATATGGTCATGGCCAGATACTGGCCGACGACGGTGGCTTTCGACGCTTCCTGGAAGCAAGGAAAAAGTGACAATGGTGGGAGAAGGAACGTGTTTATTAGGGTGGTTCCAAGATGAATGTGAAAAAAGTAAAGCTCTTATTCCACCAGGATTTTTCTATATCGAAAATATATATATCCCTGCTTCTTTTTATTTCCAGATCAAAAAATAAATGTATTTTATATGAAAAAAAAAACAAATTTACGTGCAAATTATATAGGAATCTTGAAAATCTCTGTTTCTTACAATAATAATAGTCAATTGTAATTGTTTATTTTACCATATTTTAATACTTACGATTTTTATAGGTCGCCTCATTGCATTTTTGGGGGATTTTGGAGGACTCTAAAAAATAGTTTGTATTAAAAAATGGTTAAAGAGATAATTGGGAATTATTATTTGAAGTCTTCTGAAGAGAAACAGATTTTTTTGAACAAAATATATTTATTATCAAGAATTCTACACCATTTTTAGGGAAAAGTTGTTTGCTCCCACATAAAATGCGTGGAAAACTTTGAGCTACCTCTAATTGTTTTTTTTTACAGGGGTATATTTTTTCGGTATAGAACAATCCTTAGGGGGGAGAGATTTAAAATTCTGAATTTGCTTCTAGTGTCTATCCTTGTATACTTAGCTGGTTCTAATCATTTTGGTAATATTACTTACTGGCCGTTTATATTCTGAGTATCTTGGAATATTTTCTGCTCTTCTTCCTTCAAGCTGAACTCATAGTAATGGTGAAGGTCTTAATACCAGTAAAATGCAATTCGATATACGGAATTAATATATCTACATATTAACATATTGAGAAACCAGTAAAAATCTCTTTTACTAAATACAATAGATCTAAAACCAAATAACAAAATTAGAGTTTTCCCAGTTCTCTGAAATTCAATCAATTACGACACAAATGAAACGATTGTACCGCACTGCGCCTCTTTAAGCAGATCTTAAAGCATATACATTAGTGCGGGTCAATTTGTAAGCGAGATTTTCTCGACTATGAGCGTATAGCACAGAACGATTCTACATGTGATTCTAAGCAAATTTTCCGAAGAAACGATAGGTCTGAAGGCAGTTTGGGGTTTGCCAAATTGCGAAAATAAGTTTCTTAGCATTTTGCTGTAGTGTCGTAAATAAGTGCTTAAATTTTGAATAAAAAATGCTACAAGGGGTTTTTGGTATGAGGAATCCATTTCTGCAATTAGCTTTTTCTAAAAACTTCCACCACAGAGCGCAAAAGTGAAAATTTTCAAATTTCCCTGGGAACCTATTTTCGCAATTTGGCAAACTCCAAATTGATTTTAAACCCATGGTTTCTTTGGCAAATTTGCTTAGAATTGCACGTAGAATCCTCCTATGCTATACGCGCATAGTCAAAAAAATTTTACTCGCCCTAAAAGCATAAACAGACGGCAGTGTTGATCCGGATCAACTCGGGAATTAATTGCAGTTGATCCGGATTAATTCCTAGTTAGTCCGGATCAACGCTGCCGTCTGTTTAAGCTTTTATACACATAAATAAATTTTTGAACAGATACGAGTATAAAAATATTTGGTTAAAATAAAAAAAAAACACATTTTTGTACCCACAATTCCTCTTTCTAATCTCGCTATTGACTTTTTTGTGGCATTTGCTTTACGGATTATTATTCTGGTGCCAAACTTTGCGCAAAAACGATAGCACACAAATAAAAATTTGAAGAAATTTAAAGATAAGTACGCCACAGAAAACTATTCAAATTTGCATATGCTCCTATGTACATACATACACATGTGCGAAGCTGCATTCCTTGTAGGGAAATTTAATACTAAATTCAAAAATTTGTATGTAAAACGAACTAAAACTTTCCTCATGCTTTTTTCCTCATATATTATAAAAAAAATTTAAACTTACTTAAGTTCATCAGTTGTTAATTTACACAAATATATGAATTAAAACGCTGGAAGTTACACGTTTTTATTATAAAAGGCTATGCACCTACATATGCCTAGCACCTTCAGCAAAAACAAATTATTAAAAATCAATGCGTCTTGAAATTTGCACTTTAACCCACTAAAATTTAATGGGCTATAAAACTGCATACCTACCTAAAATTTTGTAAAAACTCTGAATAAAAAGTTTTACATTTTTGGGTGTAATTGTTAAAGTTTGTTGAATTTTCACAATTTTTGTACGAAGTCTGAAATGTAGATTTACGTGGTGCTGGTTATTTAATGTGCTATACTTTTATAGGAATAATATTAGCATCAAATAAACAAAAGAAAAATAGCCAAGAGTGGTCAAAATATATCGACTTTTTGCACACTTCAACCTGTACATCCGAAAACGTAAGCAAAGGCCATACTACGTCGTATCGAAAAAACACATATCGTTAATTGCGAGGTGAAAAGGAAGTTTATTTTTACCCTGCAGGGGTTTCCCTCACGTACAATTGCAAGTATGTGTATCTTCGTAACTAAGGCTTTTGAATTTTATGACTAACGACATTTCACACAACCCTTTCATTCACCACCACATGACACAGTGGCACAATAAGTAAATCTAAAAAAATACTACTGCTACTGATAGTCTCGTTATGGAGAAAATTTAACTTTAGCTTCACTTTGCCAGCCACTTGTTTCTTTTATTTGTTGCATTTATTTTCACTTTTAGTTCATTTTGCCATCTTTATCTGGCAATTGGAATTGTATAAATTTTACGTATGAAATCAAAGTAAATTATACGCAGCTTATCTGTGTCATGCGGTAGACGGACGCAGCGAATGATAAACACAAGTCAAAAGAAAAGGGAAAAGCAGGCAAAAATGTAAAACTTCCTTTTTGTGTATAAAAAAGTTTATTTCCTATGTGACCGTAGTCAGTAGAGTATGAAAAGGATGTGTTTGATTTGCCACATATTTTCTCTTTAACAAATCTGTTTTATTGCATGGGTGTGTGCCTACTGTGTCCTTATTTTTCTTCCTGATTCACATTCTGAAGGCTCAAAATAACCGAATAGATAGGGCATATTTATATTTAAATTTAAATTTCTGCATAACTTTATCAACCCTCTGAGCAAATTTGTAAAAGTTGTACAAAAAAAGGATAAATACGCAGATACAAATCGGTTCATCCGCTAGGGAGCGATTATTTTTTAACATTTTAAGATATGTTTAATAAACTCATTCGTTATTTTATTTTATTTTTTTTTGTGGAAATGACATATCCTTTTATTTATGCACATATTATAAACTAATAAGACTTAAAAAAGTATTGGTGGTTAAAAGAGAAATGTCACAATGCAAAAAGTTTAATTTAAAAATAACAACAACTTACTTTATTATATTTAGTATCTAATAAATGCATGCATATATAATGGTAATTATCAGCTTAAGCATCGCCTATTATAAGTACTACGGTATACAATTTAGAGTTGTTCTAAAGCTACATAACTTCTTTTTACTCTTTTGCAGATGAAACAATTAGCGAACACGAAGGCAAATCGGTGGTGATACCTTGTCCGGTAAACAAAGCTAAATGTGGCGATCTGCATTCGATAAACTGGTTCAAGGGAGACGATCGTATTGCAGCGATGCTGCTGGGCGATAGCAATGTGACAAGCGTCTCAGATGAGTTTGCGAATAGGTAAAGAATCAGTACTTTAAATTCTAACAAATTAAATTGTCTCTGTTTCTGTATTAATATTGCTACTGCTCTGCCACTTTTTGTCTAGGCAATTTTAAAACCACCTCACTAGTGTTGGGCAGTATCGATACCAAACGTACTCAAAACTCGATTCTCAAAAAGATCGACAGCAGTCGATTTTTAAAAGAATCGATACTCCAAAGTACGCAGTACTCACAAAAGAACTCGAAAGTACTCAGAACTTAAAAGAAAGAAAAAGAAAGTTCCCAGAACTCACAAAATAAATCGAAAGAACTCAGTACTCAAAAATAATCTATTCCAATCATCACTTTGACACATGTACTCAGGATCGATTTAAAGTACTTAATATTAAGTGCCGATACTTAAAAGTATTTAGTTTTATTTACATTTACCGGTATTTTGAAATTATTGTACTCAATTTGAAGGTTCAATAGTTTTCAAGTGCAATACTTGTACCCAGTAAAGTTAGCTGTTCATTTGACGTAATTTGCACTTAATATAATAATTTGATAATGCTGGCAGCTTTTGAGATTTCTTCACAAAGCATTGAAATGATACCAACATGTGTATATTAACAGAAAGTACTCAGTACTCTTAAAAATACCAAATTCTTCAAAGTATCGATGCGAAAGAACTCGATCCTCAAATGTACTCGATATTTCCCAACACTACACCTCACGTATGCTGATAAGCTGAATATTAACATACGCACTCCTATTTGTATTCGTTTGTTGCTTGTTTGTACATTTGTTTTCGTTGACCATTGAAATGTCGGCTGATTATACTGTCTTGTTATGCCAGTTTCTCAATGTCCGGTTAACCCTAACTACACGTTAAACATCATTATCGACGTTATCGACTCCCTATTATATGTTATTGAGTCGATCACGTCGATAACCATGTTTAACCTGCAGTTACTGTTAATCAGACATTGAGAAACTAGCCCTGAAAGGTGCGGTGTAAACATGCAGATGACATCAAAAAGTGCACACTGCAATACTCGAAGTCTGAACGTTGAAAAATAAGATTTTGCTAGAAGTCCTTTTGAATAATCTTCTGTTGATATCATCTGTGTATTACAAACTTGGTTAAACGTCGATATTCTGAACCGCTTCTATTCCACCCCTAATTACGAGATGTTCCAAATTGATCGGTTAGGTAAACCAGGGGTGGTGTAGCTATCTACTGTAGAGATTACTTAGTTTTTAAGGTGGTAAGTCGTTCCTCTATGTCTTAAATTGAGTTTCTATCTGTTGTTCTGTCCGATAGTTATTCTAAAAACTTTTGTCATGTGTGTACAATCCTATTAAAAACTATTCTTATCTATCTTTCTTTGAAGAACTTTCAGCTCAGTTAATTGACTACGATAGTTTGATTGTTTGTGGTGATTTTAGTATAAACATATTAACCCTTGACTCAACATTGCATCTAATGTTATGCTTATTGTTTATACAAAAATCCCACTAGGTTTACTTGTAATGCGCGAGAGTCTGAGTTTGTTAGATATTTTTATTTTTCCCCTTTCCACGTTCCGTTTCTACTATTTGATCAGTAGTCCTTTGTCTTCGATCATGATTTAATTTTTCATACATTTAACTCTAAATTAAATAAATAAATTATGTCATAATGTTGATGCAAATACGACCTTCCATTACCGTGACTTCAATGCAGTTAAATTTGACAGTTTATTTTCTGACTTGAACCAATTTTCCTAGGACTATTGTTGGCAATTAGTCACTGTTGCTGACAAATTAAACTTCCTAACTGGAAGTAAACTTAACTTTTTGACGGTTGGTTTTTGATCTGTATAAATGTACATTATTTCTTTATTATTTAGAAATATTGTATTCTGATGAAATGGACACTCGATTATAATGGACAATTTGACGCGGTCCCGTGGAGTTCATTATAACCGGATTGCACTGTATTTTGGATTTGGTGAAAATGCAGTAAAACAACGAAACAGTTATTTAAGTAACGGAATGCAGAAAGTAAAAGTCGACAACACCTTTTTGAGAATTGGCAGGCACATGTTATGGAGTACCGCATGGGTCTGTTCTAGGTCCTCCCCTCTACTACAGTATTTTTATAAACTATGTTTTCAACTCTTGATCAAATGCTTGTATACGTGCTTACACTGATGTTTAATTAGATATAATATATATATATATATATATATATTATATCTTTAAACATATCAGCATGGTCCAGGATATAACTATTAAGCTTAATGAGGACTTGTGCTCGATTCTTGAGTGGTCTGCTGANTGACGGTTGGTTTTTGATCTGTATAAATGTACATTGTTTCTTTATTATTTAGAAATATTGTATTCTGATGAAATGGACACTCGATTATAATGGACAATTTGACGCGGTCCCGTGGAGTTCATTATAACCGGATTGCACTGTATTTTGGATTTGGTGAAAATGCAGTAAAACAACGAAACAGTTATTTAAGTAACGGAATGCAGAAAGTAAAAGTCGACAACACCTTTTTGAGAATTGGCAGGCACATGTTATGGAGTACCGCATGGGTCTGTTCTAGGTCCTCCCCTCTACTACAGTATTTTTATAAACAATGTTTTCAACTCTTGATCAAATGCTTGTATACGTGCTTACACTGATGTTTAATTAGATATATATCTTTAAACATATCAGCATGGTCCAGGATATAACTATTAAGCTTAATGAGGACTTGTGCTCGATTCTTGAGTGGTCTGCTGACAACCTCCTCTGCCTAAATGATCAATAATCAAAGATCCTATTTTCTGATATNCAGGATATAACTATTAAGCTTAATGAGGACTTGTGCTCGATTCTTGAGTGGTCTGCTGAAAACCTCCTCTGCCTAAATGATCAATAATCAAAGATCCTATTTTCTGATATAATTCACCTTTATATTGGTACTGTAAAGCTTTAATTGGTTGACAAAGTGAGAAACCTGGGTGTTACTATAAATTCCAAGCTGAATCGATAGGACCACAAATCAATTAGTTGTCGGAAAAATGTACTACATGCTGCGCTGCCTAAGGGTATCCTCACTTTTTGTACCCTCAGACACGAAGAAAAGCTGGTCTCAAGCGTTATTGTTCCTCACATTATGTATGTGGAAATAGTATACAGAAAAATAGGGTTGCATTCCTTCCACAAACTGGATATTGCCATTAGGTATGTATGTATATGGCTTGACGAAATTTGACCATTTATCTTCCTTGCGACCTAAGAAACTTTATAAACTTTATGTTTAAATTATTCGTTTATAAAAAGCCGGAATATATAGATACATATGTATGTATGAAAAGCTTAAGTTTTCAAAATGCACACGCGCCTTTAATTTTATATTGCCAAATTTTAATTAATTAAGCACTTCCAGACTGTTTTTTTTAATTAACTTAAATTTTGTTTGTATATGTATTTCTTTTCTTCCTTGCAGAGTCACCGTGGAACAAAATCCATTTAGATTAGTAATTAATGACTTAAAAATAGCTGATGAGGATATATATCTTTGTGATACAACATTTCTTATACCAATCGAAACGTGTGATAATTTCAACGGCTATCGGGTCGAGTTGAATGTCTTAGGTAAGCTAAATAGTTTCCCGTTTGCTCTTCTAAAGAAAATTTTGTTTTAATTTTTAATTGTCTATCCTTTGACCAATAAAATACTTAACGTAAATACTTAATCTTACTTCTTTCTTTTGATACTTAATTATTTGCTTTTTGCATGGCTCATTTTAATGTTTTGCCTCTGTTGCTGAATTGGATAATCCATATTCAGTTTGGTTATTAATTTATTATTTCGCTTTTCTTTATTTTATGCTTACTTTTTGACTCTTCGGAAGCCAATTATTTTAAAAAGCAAACTGCATGTTGCCTTGGCTGCTTTGGAATATAGAATATATATAGATACAATTTTTGTTCATATATTTTGGTTTTGTATAAAGTTCTTTGTTGTATTTTTTGGCTTTGCGTCTTACATGTTGAATTGATTTTTTGCAATTTAAGAAATGTTTAAAAAATAATTTTTCAATGGAATTTTGTAATCCCCACCGCCCCATACTCTGTTCTAAATCGTCGATGTAAATGAATATATTGAAATTATTTGTGATAAAATATTGTGAAATATTCATTCGGGAAATTTCGTATTCCAAAATCTAAATATCTCAAAAANTAATTCACCTTTATATTGGTACTGTAAAGCTTTAATTGGTTGACAAAGTGAGAAACCTGGGTGTTACTATAAATTCCAAGCTGAATCGATAGGACCACAAATCAATTAGTTGTCGGAAAAATGTACTACATGCTGCGCTGCCTAAGGGTATCCTCACTTTTTGTACCCTCAGACACGAAGAAAAGCTGGTCTCAAGCGTTATTGTTCCTCACATTATGTATGTGGAAATAGTATACAGAAAAATAGGGTTGCATTCCTTCCACAAACTGGATATTGCCATTAGGTATGTATGTATATGGCTTGACGAAATTTGACCATTTATCTTCCTTGCGACCTAAGAAACTTTATAAACTTTATGTTTAAATTATTCGTTTATAAAAAGCCGGAATATATAGATACATATGTATGTATGAAAAGCTTAAGTTTTCAAAATGCACACGCGCCTTTAATTTTATATTGCCAAATTTTAATTAATTAAGCACTTCCAGACTGTTTTTTTTAATTAACTTAAATTTTGTTTGTATATGTATTTCTTTTCTTCCTTGCAGAGTCACCGTGGAACAAAATCCATTTAGATTAGTAATTAATGACTTAAAAATAGCTGATGAGGATATATATCTTTGTGATACAACATTTCTTATACCAATCGAAACGTGTGATAATTTCAACGGCTATCGGGTCGAGTTGAATGTCTTAGGTAAGCTAAATAGTTTCCCGTTTGCTCTTCTAAAGAAAATTTTGTTTTAATTTTTAATTGTCTATCCTTTGACCAATAAAATACTTAACGTAAATACTTAATCTTACTTCTTTCTTTTGATACTTAATTATTTGCTTTTTGCATGGCTCATTTTAATGTTTTGCCTCTGTTGCTGAATTGGATAATCCATATTCAGTTTGGTTATTAATTTATTATTTCGCTTTTCTTTATTTTATGCTTACTTTTTGACTCTTCGGAAGCCAATTATTTTAAAAAGCAAACTGCATGTTGCCTTGGCTGCTTTGGAATATAGAATATATATAGATACAATTTTTGTTCATATATTTTGGTTTTGTATAAAGTTCTTTGTTGTATTTTTTGGCTTTGCGTCTTACATGTTGAATTGATTTTTTGCAATTTAAGAAATGTTTAAAAAATAATTTTTCAATGGAATTTTGTAATCCCCACCGCCCCATACTCTGTTCTAAATCGTCGATGTAAATGAATATATTGAAATTATTTGTGATAAAATATTGTGAAATATTCATTCGGGAAATTTCGTATTCCAAAATCTAAATATCTCAAAAATGTTTCTTAAGTAAAGAATCCTAATTTATTAACAACTAAATATTTTGCTTTATGGAGATCAAGATTGCCTGAAAAATAAAATATTAATATTTCGTGCAAGCATGTAGTCAATTTTACTGTTTCGCTCCACACTCATAATCAATGAATTTTCCAGCGCAGCGTTACTAACAAACTCTTTCATCTTTTCATAAATGCTATATATTTTCTTTTCCATTGCCACTAAATCAATTATGTCCATTTTGCGCTTGTTACAGTACCTAATAATTTTCTGTTCGCAAGTACTAATCAAACATGTCAGTCATCTTTGCTTTGCATCCAATTTTAATATTTACATACTTCCCGTTCTATTGCTCAATAAAAAATTGAATGCTTTTTCATTACCAATTTGAGTTACTATTCGTCTTTTACTACGCCTCTCTATGATCTCAGTTTTTGATGCAATTTTTACAAATTGTGTATATTTTTTCGTTATTCATTCAACAAAATTGAATCTCATGCGATTTTTAACTGATTGTACTTTTGATAAACCCCATTCCCACCGCTCTCTTCTACTACTACTACTACTACTACTGCAAAAAACAAATAAAAAACGCTCGTCAACATCATCACCATGGATTTGTATATGCAAACTGCAAATAAAATATTTTTGTATGAAAAATAAATATACATATATGCTATATGAATACTAAATAATGAAAAAAATACACGCCTTTAACACCCGCCAAACCAATTTAAATCAAATCAAATAAATGAATGTCAAAATGAAATGTGTGCATACAACATAACCCTAAATTTGTTTATTTTGACAATTTTAATTTTATTTGTAACTGCTAAAACTCACAACAACCAAAAAAACTGTTAAATGCAAACCAACCGTTTTTCAAAAACAAATACGTAGAAAATATTGGTAAATTACTAAACAAAACAATTTTTATAAAAATCACAATTTTTGTATAGCTCAACTGGAATAAACTAGTTTTAGTTTTGTTCGATTTTATTTTCATTTGGCATATGCAATTTCGTTTAATGTTTCAGTTGTGAATTGATTTTCATAAATTTAGTGGCTTATGATTTTCATAACTTATTCCACGTATGTATATTATTTTAAAATTCTAAAACTTCAAAATTATTATTTCTTTTCTTTGAAATTTTTTATTTTATTATTAATACATAAAATTCCGCAAGATTTACGATAAACTTAATTATTAATTTTGGCTATACAAATTCACAAATTTTTCTTTAATGAATCAACACAAAAAAATCAACTACAACAACAACTACTGCAAAAACCAACCCTCAAAACACTGAATCCACCGTCAACGCAACAATAAATTCAAAACTATAATTATCCTGCTCCGAACGCATCCATTCCACACAAACACTCGGTAAAACACAACACATCATTTGAAATACCAACTCTTAAATAACGCGTAAAACACTTACACGCTCACGCCCACTCGCAAACACACACACACACACACAAACAACCAACACCGTGACGATTGGCGTAATTTGCATACGACTGTTTGGTTGTTGTTGTTGACTGAGCAGTGCCACCATCAGAGGTTGTGATCCTGGATGAGAAAGGCGATCGCATTGAGAATGGTTCCATCATTGGCCCCATGCAGGAGCGTCAGACACTGAAAGCAGAGTGTGTAGTTTGGAACACACGACCTCAACCGCAGGTCGGCTGGTGGCGGGGGAATAAACGACTGATGACGCGTAAGTATTTAGACATATGTACTTTAATTACTCTTTATGAACACAGTATATGAAAAGTATATACTCCGCATGAGTATGTAGGAACGTTAGTGTATCTCAGACATGAGCTTAATGGAATTGAATATGACTATGCAAATACATATAGGGAGTTCACAAGGTGTTGTATACTGTCGTACTGTTGTATGTCATAAACTTTAAACGGCTAAAACTATATTTAAGGAATTCGTAGGCTAACATAAATTTTCACACAATTAAAAAATAGTTGGTGGTGATTTCAAGTCCTCTAAACATTTATTTAGCCGTTAAAAACTTTACAACATACAACAAGTACGACACCTTGTGAACCACCCAATAGTATGTATGTAACAGGGAAGCCAACTCGTGGGGAATTCTCCGATTTGCGAGGATTTTTACTTTGCGTGGGGAATCGGGGAAATGACCATATTTTGTGGGGAATTTAAGCTTACGTGGATAATCGGGGGATTTACTGCTTTTTTGTGCAGATCTAGGTGTTAACTAATTTTTTCTTTTTTCCTTCACAAATTTCATAATAATAATAATAGATACGCGCTTACACATATGTTAGTGTTTGGCCGAGGTTCTCCTCCGACTTGTGGCGTGCGCCTTGATTTTGTCACACAAAGCGGACGGACCTACAGTTTTACGCCGACTCCGAACGGCGAATGTATTTTTATGAGAAGCTGTTTTTCATGGCAGAAATACACTCGGAGGTTTGCCATTGCCTGCCGAGGGACCACCGCTGTTAAGAAAAAACCTTTTCTATATTTGTTTTTTTGTGATGTTGCTTTGACCAGGGCTTGAACCCAGGTGCTGATGAGTGAAAGTGCGCACTGCTTACCACTACACCACAGCGGCTGATCACAAATTTCATAATGAGTTAAAAAGGTTGCATGATAAATGCAACTGCAACTAAATGTACTGATTATGTCGCATTTGCTTTCATAGAACGAATAAACACAATTAATTTTTATATGGAAGAAAACCGCAACACCATCAGGAAAAAAAATTCTAAAACGAAAATTTTTAACCGCTTGAATCTTGCACTTTATTTATTAGAAACTAGAGCTTTCGATTTTGTTCGCACATTTTCAAACAGCCCGGGTATATGAGCAGCGAGTACTCGCACACTTGCTCAATGCTCATTACTCGAAAATTTTCGGGCATGAGCTCGAGCAATTCGAGTTTTTTCGAGTAATTTGAGCAATGTTTTTTTTATTATATTGACATTTTTGGTAGCAACTTTTCAAATTTTCCAAATTATTGATGTATAATGCAAAGATTGTTACATTGGTATTTAATAATATAATTTATTTAACATGAATTAGAAAGCAGCTGCTGACAAATACAATTTCAAAAACTCGAAAATTTTGAATAAGCATTTGAGCAGTTGAGCAATGAACGATTTTCGAGCGAGTATCGAGCTACTCGCATTGCTCGATACCCGGATATCTAGAGCTCTATTAGAAGCTACTGGGCTACAGAACTTTCAAAATTCGAAATTATGAATTTCGAAATATGGAAGTTTCAGGCAATTCTGAAATTTACCGTTATATGAAAAGCGGCCGTAATTTTAGTCCGATTTCAATAATTTTCAACGTTTTGCTTATATGTGGCAAGCACAATAACCACACCGAGTTTGGTACAAATTGGTAGAACGGTTACCGATATACATATATGTGATCATAAGTGGGCGGTGCCACGCCCATTTTCCAAACTTTTACCATAAACGTATTTATTGATAAAGAATTGTTGCAAGCATCAATTTTGAATAAATAAGCTTCAATATTTACTGATTTATCGAAGATTTTGTATTTCTCTAAATTACCGTTATATGGGATGTGGGCGTGGTTATTGTCCGATTTTAAAAAGTTTCGGCGGTTTTTTATGCTGTGCCAAGGCCAACAACTGTGCCAAGTTTGGAAGAAATTGGTGCAGCGGTTACCAAGATATACACATGTAACCATAAGTGGGCGTGGCTACGCCCATTTTCCAAAAATTTATAATATTCTTATTTTTCGTCTAAAAATTATTGTAAATATCAATTTTGAGTGAATTATCTTCAGTAGTTACTAAAATATCGCAGTTTTCGTATTTCTGGAAATTACCGTTATATGGGAAGTGGGCGTGGTTAAAGTCCGATTTCGCCCATTTTCAATACCAACCTACCTTGGATTAAGGGAAACCTACATACCAAATTTCGTTGAGATATCTCAATTTTTGCTCGAGTTATCGTGTACACGGACAGACGGACAGACGGACAGACGGACAGACGGACGGACAGACAGACATGGCTTAATCGATTTCTTTTTTCATCCTGATCATTTATGTATACATTTGTCTATATCTATCTCGATTCGTTTTGGCTGTTACAAACAACCGTTATGTGAACAAAATTAATATACCCTTGTGCACAAGTGCGCTCGGGTATAAAAAATAACTGTGAAAACTGGTCAACATTTTTGTAGACTAAATTTTTTTTCGATCACTGTATGTATGTAAATATTATATGTACATTTTTTATTCTTTATTTGCTAAACAACTTTATAAACGTTTAGTTTGGGTTATAAATACGTAGACGAATCACATTTAAAAATAAAATAAACAGAAAGACCAGCAATATATCGAAAAAAATACATTTTTTTTTGTAAACAAGGAGATATCTATGGATGGGGGAATTTTATGGAATTTCGGGCAAAATCGGGTAATTTCTTAGTCGAAATCGGGAATTCTCAAAAATGAGTTGGCTACCCTGGTATGTATCCAACACCTAAGGGTCGAATTTTTCAAAAGACTTTTTAGTTATGAAGTATGCCGCTATCCCTGAATTAAAGACACGTTTACACTGAGAAAAAACTTTTGATTACTTCCCTGCAAAAAATGCAAGTAATAAGGGTTGACTCAACAGCAAATGGCTATGCGACTAATACCACTACTGATATCTTTTTCGTTCGAACATGTCCTATAAAGGTACAACTACTTATAGTTCATTTCCACCAAGCCTTAACTGCAGTTTATGCCTAGTGGAAAAGGAGATTAGAACTCAAAGGGGGTAATTGCTCATAGTAGGTACAAGGAAATGAAGTTTAAAAAGCACATAGCAAGAAATTAAACGTGGCTTCCAACCATGCAGGGGTGGTGCTTACACATAGTTACAACTGGCCACAACTGCCTGTCCACCTTTTTAAGTAAATAAATAACCGATGCTCGGCCTAGTGTGATACATCCTCCGGAAAATGCTTCCTGAGTTTCTTGCGGATTCTGCATAACTTACCATGAATAAATCAGTGAGAGGAGAGACCAGTATGTTAGCATGTATGTATTTATGAAAAAGTAGTGGGTTGGCACTGTGCCCAATGGTATTTATCTGTTACCACCCCGGCATGATTGTAACCCACGCAGAGTCCGCACAAAACTCCGGAGGCACTGTGCGGAGGATGCATCAGACTAGGCCGATCATAATTTGTATTTCCATCAACTTATAACTTTAGAAAGATTTACTACAGGCAGCTGAGAAGTGCATGTGCACAAATGAATGAAGGAAATTTTTGCACAAGGTGCAGTACATATCATGCATTTAAGCACCCGGTGTTAAAACCAGGCGGGCACAGAACAGTAATGACTGGCGTGCTTTGTTGGACTCGGCCAGAATCGCGTAGTCGGTTACAGCGCCAATCAAGAAAATAAAAAGGCCTTATCCTTAAAATTGAGAAATAAATGAGGTTTCGGAAAACAAATATTTATCAATATTTTCGGAGGAAGAATCTATTCCCAAAATAGTCAATTATCTGCCAAGGGCTAAACAAGTTTTATATATAAATACTTACATCGATGCCGTTATTTATCAACATTAATAATTCAAAACAGTAATAAAATAAAAAGGATATTTTATTGCACTTATAAACCATATATGCATTTCAGCCAAATGAACCATAGAGCCGAGTCGAAATGAAAATTACATAACATTTTTTTAAGCACATGTACTCAGATTGCATTTCTTCGCCATTTTCCAGAGCGTAGCGGCGCAGGTCAACCACTTGAGCTGTCACTTAAGGCTAATCTCAGTCAAACGTCCTGCTGAAACATTACGAACGACAGAAATTTACGACCTTACACACCCAACGTAAACTCAGGAAACTTGGGTGGCGGACTTAACACTTTCAGGATTCCCTTTGTTTCACACTTGTTCACTCCGACTCTTCTCTCCACCGCACACACTTTCATTGGAGTAAGACGAATGCGTGTCTGCTGCGAAATTGGCGCCACAAAAAAAAAACGCTGTGAACGTATAAAAAACTTAGGGATATAAGCAGCTTCTTATCGGACAACGCTCAGCGGTACATAAATATTCAGTGTGCGAAGAATAGAAAAGGCGAAATAAAAGCGTTGGTGGAATAAAAAGATCACACTAAGTCCGCTTTTAAGGTTGAAAAGTGCGCTCTATAAAAGCGCAGCATAAAGAACCGTTAAAAGGCATCAAATACTCAACACAAGTTCTTGCGACTCACATGGCAAAACATTACAGTAGAATCGCTGAAAGCGTAGCTAATAAAATTTTTTTATTGCTCCGCATAAAAAGGCAATTGCATTAAATTCCTCAGTATAGATGCAAGAGCAGCATAAAAACCCACGGTCGGCAGTTTTTTCCGGTGCAAGTATTCTCTTTAACGATGATTGTGCAACCAAATTAATTGGCTTGCTTTAGGGAGTGAGAAAAGATATCATAAAAAAAAATCAAAAGAAGGTACACACACTTCAAATAAGAAGGAGCGCAATACAAGCACACGTTAGCCGTCAAATCTTAGATCACACCCATGGCCATTAAAAAATCTCAGGAAGGTTCTTACAAAAGTATGAGTTTGCATGTTTAGGATAAAACTTAATGTGCCACAAGCGTCAAGCCATTATTTGAACGAAATTGCGAACAAATACTAAACTCGGGGAAAAAAATTAAAGCAAATGTTACTCGAGTGTACACCTCA